TTAAAGCAACTGGTATGTTTAATAAACTTCTTAAAAAAACTGTGCTTTGCCTCAAATCTTAAAGTCCAAAGTCCCACAAGAGGTCCAAACAACCTAATCAATTTGGGGTAATGTTCCAAGTAGTGGTGTTTAGGCAGCAGTCTATTTTCAGGAAATAGCTCCTGATATCTTTGTCTATGCTCTGAGATTTAGCAATCAAGGTAAGCAATGGACTCATCATTGTGGACTGGCGCAGCAACAAGCTCCATAATCTCTTTTAAATCCATCAGAACCAGCCATGCTGGCTCGCCCTCAGGAATCTTAATCCCTATTAGAAACGGGAGCAATCTTAACAGGCACCAGTTTTCATGTGCATTACCACCTATGGATTTCCTGCTTGAAAGATTTTGTGGCACAATATGAGGCTTATTAGTTTTATCAGTCCACTTATAGGGGAAGTTCAGAATGGCATTATTTATGTCCGCCAAAGTAATATACTTCTTGGATATCAATAATTTGAGACACAGTGCAAGTTCAACAGGTACAACGCCCTCAAAGATATCATGAGCAATGTCAGGAGGGTACCCAGTGAGGACATGGAAATGAGAAAGAGCTTTAGTCAAAGGACAAGCTTGTTTTACTCCAAAACTGCTAGTGCCACTCTCTTCAGCTGACCTTACATGAGCCTCATGTTGCTCTTTACTTCTGAGGCTGAATTTTCCTGCTCCCACTTCTTGTGATGGGAAGTCTGCGTTACTTGCAATGCAAAAACGGCAACAATAATGAGCTGTGAAACATTCAATGAAGCCTGCAAGTGAGTGAGCTCCCAAATTGTCTGCTGCAACAGTTTGAACTGTACCTTTCAGAGTTGTTCCCAACTCCGAAACAAATATGCCTTCTTCTTCCAAAGCCCTGAGAACTTTTAGCAGTGGCTCTAAAACTTCCAAGCGATGTTTCTTTAGATCATCTGTTTTGCATAAAATGGCTAAGTAAATGGAGAACAAAGAGGAATTGGATTCTGGGGGTAGGTTACTGAGCACCCAGTATACACCACAAAGTTTGTGTTTCTTACGGGAGGTGCCCAGAGGATTACAGACTTCAAAGTCATCCGCATACAATCCAATAGATATTCTTAACTCGTCACCTGAGAAGAAATAATTTTTCTTAAAATGTTGGCCATCCCTGAAAGACCTATACAGATTCTGATGTTCTGCCTCTGCTTGTGGTCTGTGATTACCAACTACAAGGTCCAAAAAATCTTTCCTATTCAAGAGCACTTGCAGGGATTCCAGAATGGGAACATACTGAAAGGTTTTCTTTTTTCTAATATCCAGAAAATATTCAATTGGCTCAACAACTTTGAAGTTAGCCTTATAGTATTGCTTACGTTGATATGCAGAACACAGAGTGTCACCTTTCTGTATAGCTTTAGTTATAGGGTTAACTGTGCACAAAGTACTGGCTATTTCCTTTATGATAGATCGGTCAACTTGGAGATTGTGCTTCTGAAAAATTTGACCCAAAACATTATCAGTAATGGGAATATACAGAGAGCTAGTTATGCGGTGAAGCTCTTGTAAGAATTCATTGATTGTTTTACTTGGTACATGAGAAAAATGTTCAAGTTTCAACAAAGCTGCAGCAAAGGATTGCTCTATTACTTGTGGAAGGTCCTCTGTGGCATCAATATTACTATCTGGTTGTACATCAGAGCATGCCTCACCTACTACATCATCATCATCATCATCATCATCATTTTCTACAGCTTCTTGGTCAACTGTTGCGGTAGTTGTCAGAATATCTGGTTTAAAATCTAATAAAGAATAAGAATGTTGTGTTCTGCTCCTGTGAGATTTCAACGTGCCACAGATATTTGTTTGATAGTCGCAACCCAAAAACATGCAAGTCACTACTTCCTCTTTCTTCAGGTGTGCATTAATGTGAGCCCAATAATCTCTTTCAGAGGCAAGATCTTTACATGGGCATAGATGGCAGCTAAATGTACAACCAGCTGAACGATTGTGACTGGTAACGGTCACGTGACATCTGTTTAAATGAATTTGAAGAGCATTCCAAGTTCTAAAAGTACAAGGGCAGCTTGTATATATACACATAAAACGACTATTTGTCCCATGAATTGTATGTTTCTCTCTGTAATGTTTTAAAAGTTGGGACCTACTAGATACTGCTACAGCACAAACCTTTCACTGCCACATTCACAGCAACAGTCACTGAAAAAGAAGAGAATGTTGCAATTAGTGATCATCAATAAATCCAATGGATGTTGTTGCCGTCTGGCAGAAACCTTGCATCTCCACATTTAATCTTTGATTATTTTAATACATGAATGCCCCATTTTATACTTCATCAAGGCAGTGTCACAAGTAGGGAAACTCACAGCTTGATGCATCAGGTCGTGAGATTGGCGGTTACAGCAACAAACAAAATGTGAATATATTTAGAAAATCTTCACCTATAATAAAATGCAAAATAGGGTTGCCAGATTGAGTAGTTAGGTGCGTATCTCGATTATATGAATATTTAACCAATGAAAGTATTAACAATAACTTGTGACTGAACAACTACGTTCATCCAATGTTGTGGACATGCAAGGTTTCTGGCCAACAGCGATGATATTAAGCAGATCATTTGATAGCAGATAACTTGATAGTTAAGGTCGAGGGGAAGTGAATGAAGTCATATACTTACCACAAGGAAATGAGCCTACAGTACAATGAGCCTAGTCGACAGCGTGCCGGAGCGTGACTTGGACGCAGGGCGAGACTCAACCCGCTACACGGTCCGTTTGTCTGCAACACATCAATATACAACAGGTTACAAACATACAAATGTACCTCTGTAGTTTTAGCAAAGTGTTAAAGTATTCATTCAAACATTTCTACAACATTACCTGCATAAGCAGTCATTTTTTAAGGTTAACGGGATAGTATTTACCAGTGGAGCAATATCCCAATAGCCCAAATTAAATAAAAACTTTACTTTTCAGGATTCCAATTCAAAAAATAGCAACAATAGCAGATCTACAAGCTCAAAACGCATCGCAGTGCGACACATTTCAAGCTTGTAGATCTGCTATTTTTGCTACTTTTGTGTGAAATTACACATTTAATTTTTTGTGTTTGTTTAACAAACACCGTTGTTAAAAGTTACATATTTAACCAAATGGACAAAATAGAAGTTACTAAATACATAAAAACACTACTGACTACACCAGTTGGAATTGAACAAACAACCATTTAAGGCTTTAACTTTAAAAAGGAGGTTTGTTTTACAGAGCTTTAAAACTGGGTTGGGGAGCTGAGTGAAGACACCATGATTTGCAGAAGTTGATATTTTATTCACTTTAAATTAAAACAGCAAGTAACAATTTAGGCCACATTAATACTAGTTCATATTAATTATGGTCTCCCTCAAGTTACCATTTCCATGTTTTACTCAATAAACAAAGACATTAATACACAGCACACAAAGCACCCAGCACTACAAAGACGGTTTACTGAAATCTCAAGATATGGCATATAAAAGGAGGGAGGACCAACATTTTAATAAATCATTGCTAAATTCCAGTTTTATTTTGAAATCTGAGGCTGGATTGAAGCAACACTTTGGCTAAACAATGTGTTTCTACTACGAGCATAATGTGGACCAAATGTGCCTTTTCACCCTCTGTTGCATAAATAAGTTGCTGAGACTGCACTGCAAGTGCACAACTATTAATAGTCTAGCTAGCGCGAAAAACACACACAACCACACACACACGACGCTCGTCTGTCACAAGCGTCATGGCACTACTTGTTCCTGGTTTGGGAAATTTCTCCATTACAACTAGGGATTGACCGATATGGCTTTTTCTAGGCCGATACCGATACCGATTATTGGTAATCAAGCAGACCGATAACCGATATTTGGAACCGATATACATTTGCAGTAAAATCAGAAAATCTTGATGTCAAAATCTAGAATAACACAAACTCCAACACAACTTCTTTGAAATGCATTTAAGCATATATTATGTTTAATGAACTTTTAAACATCTTAAAACTGGTTTCCTCTCTGTGCCCTTTTCTTTAGTGCAGCCATCTGCAATGAGTTAGAGAGAGACAAGAAGTGGGGCTGCAGGCGTAACTAACAATAATGCTTAATTTATTATATCAAAACAATGCCAGTCTATCTAGCATAAAATCCCAATAAGCTGCTAGCAACTGCAAAACACTAGTGCTAGCTAATGTTTTGCAAAATATTAAAAGTGAGGCTATTACAGTAGACCTAACGTTAGTCTAGTAGCCTCACTTCTAATATTTTGCTAAACATTTGCTAGATACATGTTGGCTAGCTAATGAGCTTCACATATCAACCTGAAAAACTGCGAGGCTCCACTCGCAGCCCCCCTCCCCTCCGCACCACAGTTAACACACAGTAACAGCCGGTTACTCCGCTGCGAGACGCTGCACGCACACCCAACTCTGACTGACTTCCCGCGTCCCTGTGTAACTGGGAAACTGATAGAATTGGATCATAAGATCGTGGTGTTTTTGCAACTTCAGCATAGGGGATTGGGATGTTTATTGAACTTCTGCTTTCAACTGATTTACCTTCGAAACACATGTATGGCTCTTCCGCTCAGCGCTGCTGCTTGCCTCTGTCTGTGTTCTTTGCACCTGCCTGTGTAATCTGAGAAGGTCCCGCCTCTCTGGCTGGTTCCCGCCCGGAACATCTTCAGTGTTGATTGACACTTCAGTAATAGCCTATGAGATAGCGCTGTGGGCGGGACATTGCTCGTGTACAGAGGGTGGTGACTGCAGCCAGAGAAACGGCCGCATCAGAACCAAAGTTTTATCTATAAAAAAAAAGGCCGATACCGATAATCGGTCAAATGCGGAATATCGGCCACGATAATCGGCCATGCCGATAATCGGTCTTCGACCCCTAATTACAACCCGTACATCTACATAAACGTTCAGATTTCAAATATAAAGTGCTGACCCCACGGACACGGATGTAACAAATTAAAACGCCTTTGTCTAAGTACCAGTTTCTTCCGTATTGTTCGATAAAAAACGTTTTAATCCGACCGGTGGCCATTTTCTCAATTTCCATCATATGCTTTCAATTACGTGACCCTATCGGTTGGGAGGTGTATTGCAGTCTCTGACACATTATAACTCTGAGAAAATGGCCGCCGATCAGATTAAAATGCTTTTAATTGAACAATATGGATGATACGGGTACTTAGACCTGCCCGTTTCAACTTGTTATATCGATGCACACCTGGCGACATGTTGGGAAGCAACACCGTTGTGTGATGGACAGAATCAAGGTTTTTACTTATAATATGACCAGGCTAGCAACGCTGTTAACATTCCCTAACAAGTTCGTCTTTTGAACGATAAAAAAAACACATTAGGCCTACTGATATGAAAATTAAACCTTATAACGTTTTGATGGATGGATTGAGGATTTATATTCTTACCGTGTGTCTGAGAGAATGCTTCCATCAACAAGTAACACTGGTAGAACAGGGAGAGGAGAACTTCCGTCCGCACTTAATAGCGCCCCCTCTGATCTTCCGGTGCAATTGAAACGCTTCAGGGCAATGTGATTGAATCACTTTCAGAGGATGATGTTAAGCTTAATGTTATCTCAACACAATATAATCACGTTTTTTGGTCAGACATGAATTGTTTATGTTGAGCACATATAATCAGTTAAATTATATCCAAGAGGCCAACTTCTCAGTTTTTATATGGACCAAGCAAAGGTCAATTGGATTTAGTAAAGAATAACTTTGGTTGAACAAATGGTCATTGAGATTTACTTAAAGAGTAATATTATTTTTATTTGGCCGACGGTATTTGGTAATTTCAACCAGACGGCAATCCCCTGGTCTGAAAAGCTAAGCCAATGAGGAAGAGCCTTACACTTGTATTCCTTGTAATATCCAGTCCTTTTGTTCAGAAGTCGATGAGAAAACTTGATCAATTACTAGGTCAAGTCGTTGTTGACATGAGTTCACCGGGATTTGGCAGTTTTTTATTCCCTTAAAAGCACATTTATCATAGGTTCATTAATCCGCCCGTTATCTGCTTCTAATTATTTTACAGTTTTAGTTTTTACCCCACATGTCACTTCCAGTTAAAAAAACACAATATAGCAACGACCAGCACGGCAAACCCGAGACTTCAAAACCATTGTCCACAAAAATAAATGGGCAAGTCATAGATTCTGGAGTCCATGTTGAACCTCGGAGAAAGAAGAGCCGCTGTTAGTGCTCATAGTGGCTATGTTTGCTTCTTATATATAGTCTTTGATTTAGACCGGCAAAGCCCTTGGGTATTTAGCCCGAAACAAAAGGCGCTTTGTTGATCCGATAATCACTTGTGTGGTGTCTTTTACCAAATATGATAAAGGAATTTTCCTTCTAAGACTAAACAAATCCTTGTCGAATTCGATTTTCTTTCTTTAAATGTACCAACTTGAAGACATTGAGGTTGTTGTGTACTTCCAAGCCTCGATTGATCAAGCCAGTCACATTTGTTTTTTGAGTAAGACAGCCTTTCATGTCAAAGCTGCCCTACTCATCATTTCACAGATTAAGAAAGGGTCTCATACTACTCAGTCCTCTTAGTAAATTGAATGATAGATTAATTGATATTAGTGCTTTTAAGAAAACAGGAGGGGGGTTAATTGCACAAACATGTTAACATCGTAGTCTCCTTAGGGAACATTAACCTTTCATTGGATTTACCTTGATTACTCACAGGCTCGCCACAAACACACTTAACACAATTTTATTACAAATGTACTCTAAGGAAAAGGTGAATGAGTGGATAGGAAACAAACTTTTATTTTAATTATTTATTTTGTACTCAACCTTGGACCTGGCTCTGTCTCATTACCAGAAAGGGAATAGCTCTCCAAAATGATCCGGCCTTTCCTCCTCTCATGTGTCTCTCATCTTATACACATGGGAAATGAAATGGAGGTGGGGAGGGAGGACCCTATTAAAAGCACTCCCATTGCCCTTGCACCAGCCTTAACCAAAGACATGCACTGCAAGAGGATTAAGCACATGATGAGGAGGCATAAGAGTGATATAGGATTTTGAAGGTTGATGCCAAAGGACATCATACAGTAGATGGACAATAGTTGTTTACAAAGTGCTAATATTATTAATATTAGTCCAACATGTAACAGGTGTACATAAAGAGTGTGTCCCATGCATAAAGCGACATATACATAACACATTTTTTACTCATTCATTTCTGTTCTTTTTAGTTGTTACCAAATGATTTTTTGGGATATAAGTCTTTGTCTTAGATTATACATTTAAAAGTCTTCAAGAGTACATTTATCAAAACAAGAAAAAAAAACTAATACAATAACGGACAATAACTCGATTTTCCGTTTCAAGGGAAATGTGTTTGGGGGAACATAGTGAAAGACACCATTGTTCGTGTAATGTACATAACCAAAGTCAGAATCAAGTCGAGTGTTATTCTTTGCTACACCGTAGTCTTGCTAAATACAATCAAGCAGTTCTGTTGCATTCAGTTTAGTTTAATATTAATTTAAAATATTTGCTACATGTCTAAAACGGCGACCGTGAAAGAAAACCAAATTTCCCTTGAAATGGTACTGAAGTTGTAGAATGAAATCTGTTCATTCTGGATGCCTGTTTTTACATGCATGCATTTTTGTAAAGATGCAACTGACTTGTGTAAAAATTGATGCTAATGTAATGGTATAAGTTGCCCAAAAGGTGAAAAAACCTCAAAAACAGACTCTTTAGTAATGTTAAAAACTGCCCTTTTTAAACCAATTTAAGGTGCACATTTTCTACTGTGCAACTTTGTATGTAATGATGTGGTTTTAAACCCCAGATTCATCAGATCAGTTCATATTCTGTTCACAGAGAAGCTCATTCCACTTATGTTGTATGTAATTAACTTTTTTTTCCACATGTTCTCATTTGAAAAATTCACCAGAGCAGCCCAGAACAAAAAGCCCATTCATCGTAGAAGGAATTATTATCCAGTTGGCTTTGACGATTTAGTGGAGGGTATAATTCCATGATTTCAGGGCTTAGTCTAGCCTGTAATGAATTAATCTATTATTCAAAGTTAGCTATGAATAAAATACAAGCTTCTGGAATTTCAATTCTCACGAACATCAATCCAAGAGCCATCGTATCATACACACACGGAAAGTATACGAATACATCACTAAAAGCACAGATTCTTAAAACATGTATCATCGCTAAAGAATACTAGTAACATATTGAGTAACAGAAATAAATCTTTAACATTTGACCTGCGATTGCTTGATAGAACAAACGGAGCACACATAAATCTTCAGAGAAGACCTCAGAGAAGCTTTAAGAGTCAGTCTATTTATGCAATGATTCAAGAAATCAATCATCTATCCAAGACAAATCAATCTCAGACATGACAGACACACTGCACCGCTGCAGTCAGCCTCAGTCTGATGTATTGTATGGATATTTCAGTCCAGCTCTTATATAAAATGTGATTTTATTTTTATTGTAAAACTTGTTCGAGTGTCTGATTTGCCTTAAACCTGAAGTATTTGTTATCATCTGGAATGATACTGTATATAATGTTTAATTTGTCCAAAAATATCAGTATGGTATCAATATGGTATCACCCTATTAGAACTGTTTAAGTTGAAACCTGTTATTATTGCCAAATATTTGATATTAAGACAACAAATTCCCCTTTTGGAAAAGTTGATTGTTATCATTGTTTGGGATAAAGTGCACTCCTCAGTTTAGTAGATATTAGAGTCTTCTTCTTCTTCTTCATCTTTGGCATTTGCCCTCCGTTTAACTGTTATCATCTTCTTATTCTCCTCCACACTTTCAATCTCACACAGCCCTACCCTCTTATTCTCAAAGTGACTCTGAGCATCTGGGAACGTTTATGGAGTGTGCTTTGTGGACGACGCTCAAGAGGGGAGTAGGCTGATACCAGTCGGTGTGTGTATGATGATGCATGTTATCAGAATGCATTTACTCCCATAAAGAAAAGTATCAAAGTTGGCAGGAGTAAAGATGAGGTGATGACCAATAACTTAATGACATTGTTGCCACCTTGTTTTTTATGAAGCGTAAAAGCAATCGCCTGAAGTAAAAAAATAACGTTTGCCTATAAACAAAACTACTTCACAGTCAAATGGATGCGCATCACCACCGCTAAGCTAACGCCGGCTAATGTATGCCGTGACTACATTTAGTAGTTTTAATTACATCATTTTTATGACACATTAAAGCTTTTGGATATGTATTTCATGTTGTAGAACAAAACGTGACAATCTTTTTAGCTTAACGGACCTTATTTCCGGCATCTAACTCAAACAAGTTAAAAAAACCTTGAGAAATGGAAATTATTTTCAGGTTTTAGGAATCATTGCTGCACCACAATTTGCCTTTGCCACAAACGGTAGCACCCATGTTGCTATCTTACAGTTTTGAATATGTGTGTTTGAGGTGTAATGAGGAGTAAAATATGGGCTTTTGTAGGACACCACTGACATGATCGGATAATTTGAATGCAAGCCTGCGTGCTGCAGAGCAGGTAAGTGGCAAGACATCAGTGACATGAATGTGGCTTAAAGGAGGAGGGAGGAGAACCAGCTGAGCTCAGAAAATCAATTGTGTTTCCAAATGGTCTCGAGTCACTACCTTTTATGTTAATTGACCAAACCCTGGCGTAATTAATGGCATGCCACTTAAATTGAGAATAAATACTCATCAAGGTCACTAAGTCAACTCAGTAACAGAAACAGAAGGAGCATCATGTGGTTGCCATTAAGATTTAAAATCATTATGATATTTAAAAAATCCTAGCAGAGGATTTTATGCAGTGGTGGAATGTAGTAAAGTACATACTCAAGTACTGTACGTACAATTCTGAGGCACTTGTACTTTACCTAAGTATTTTCATTTGATTTTACTTTATTCTTCTACTTCATTACATTTTGTCCTAAAACCTTTAAAATACATTTCACCACTTCCGGTTCCCTCGTCTTGAAGCCCTAGGTTTTTTAAACGTGTTTTTGGTAAGCCTGAAATAAGGTCTGTGGCCAACCCTAGCTTACTACAAGAACATACAACAACATAAAATATGCGAGGTAATACTCTACTTGTGACTGTTCAAAGCTTCTATGTGTCATATAAAATGTAAAAAGTAAATGTGACTTCTAAACGTCATCACGTGTACACTAACCACAGTTGAATAAATAAAATATGATTCTGAAATGGGCTATTACACACTATAACTACTTTACTTTTGGTACTTTATGTATATTTTAATGCTGATACTTTTGTACTTTTATGCATTTTATTTTGCAGTTTGGTATTGCTTATTTTACTTAAGTATGATTCCTTTTTCCACCATTGGATTTATGTGTTATGTTGAAGATCACCCATGTACACTTGACATGAAAGAGCTCACACAGAAATAAAGTAAAACATTTAAAAGACTGCACTTTAAATCTGAACCTGTGTCCTCTCTCAGCTGTGGCATCTGAGAGTCTAAAAGAGTTAGGGTCATTTAAGTTGCACGATGGAGCTGATGGTG